AAATTACATGTAACAAATAACATCATGGTGTCATTTACAGGGAGATAGAGTGAAAAATAGCCTCTCCAGTAAACTCAAATTCACATATCACCTCAAATTGAGCATTGACAAAGTAAAACACTTTCAGTCATTCCTTTGATTTCAATATTTCTTATCACTTGCTTTCCATCCAAAATCAATCTGGGTGGACTTTAGGCTCAAATATAAATCTGAGAGACTGGGTTAGGGGCAGAAAGCATGCTGACCTTTGTCCCTGTGGAATAGGAGAGCTGAAATTTGGACTCTGAATAAATTTGGAATGTTATAAAAACTACCCTGTCCACAAATAATGACCGCAAGGAACTTTTCCCACTGGCTGAGGAAGTAGATTCCACAACTTGTTTTCTGTCTGAGACCCTGGGTGTTAAAAAAAAATATTACTCATGAGGAATCAAAGCCCAAAACTTGGGCTTTATGTGCTGGAGGAACCCTTAGCAAATAAGAGAACAAATTAATATAAAAACCATTCAGGACCACTGAAGCCCTCAGGGGTCTGGCAGAACCAAACAGAAAACTGCTGGATAGAGACACTTCCACCACCAGAACTTGTGGGAATTCAGTTCTCACGGAAGATGAGTTTACAACCAAAAATTCAAATCATACTATTTGATTTGGACCACTCTTCGGAAGAGTGGCCACAAGAAACAGGGGGATTATAATGTTTTTAATTGAGGTAAAATATATGTATGTAATTTATCATTTTAAAGAGTCCATTCACATTACGTTTTCCCCTTCATCTCCCCTCCCCTTTGCAGCTTCTGACAACTCCCAGCCTACTCTCTATCTTCACAAGATTCACTTTTTTAGATCCCACATGAGTGAAAACTTAACAAGGGACTCACAACTTTAGAATTGGAAACAGAAAAGCAGTCTGAAGGATGGCGAGAAATTGACCGTGTTATGTAAAATGTTATGTAACATTTCACAAAACCTCATGTAGGGACTAGTGTGCCAGTTCATGGGATTTCTCATCTGTTCACCTGTAGACACACCCGGAATTTTTCAAAGTGGGGAAAGAAATTACAGCCCAACCTTCGAAACAAGATCACAGCAGTCACGAACCTGGGTGGCTGGGGGTCAGGGGTTCCAGTTCCTTGAACCCACTTGACCTGGTTTGATTATTCTGCTGAGCTAGAAAGTTCAACCGAGGCGTGGTGGCGAGTGACAGCAAAAATGGCTGGAAATAAGACTGCAGCAGCCCAGGCAGAGTGTGTAGAAAGCGTAAGCAACCTACACAAGTTTCAGGGTAACAGAGAAATTTTATTTAGAAAGAACAAAGAGAAAGTTTAGAGCACTGCCAAAGAGAGTTGGGAGTGGGTTCCTCTCGTGAAGGAGAAAGGTGCACAAGAGGGAGACACGAAGGCCCGTGGGGTATCTCCTCTCCATTTGAAATTGGCTGCAAATCTCTCATTGGCTCCCCTGCCCCGCCCGGCAGTACTGCCCTTTTCTATTGGTCATTGATTGTCTCTTTTCATTGGTGGTTGGTTACCTAGGTAACTCCATACCCGTGTTTTCATAGGCCCTCCAGACTTCCTGGTTCAGCAAGGCGGGTTTTCTTCTGGCTCCTCGTTGAAGCCCATTTCTTAGTGGCCCTTCTCAGGTTAGGAGAATTCGACTCCTGAAAATTTGCAATGGGAATTAATCCACACGCAGGAATTCTCATGGAGTCAGAAGCATGAGGCTTGGCCGCTTGCTCCATCATACCTTGCTCCAAACAAACGTGAAGATTATCGTGAGAAAGGAGAGTCCCGAGGAGGCTGCAATGGGAGATTCTTTCCTTTGGGTTTCTGTATTGTAACAAAGGAGGGTGGAAAACGTATCTTTTAAATTCATAATTTGGTAAAACAAATCATGAACTGAAAAGAAAATCAAAGAGCATTTGAACTAATGGCTTTTTTTTTTTTT